ATATATAGATGAACATTGAGAATTTTGTATTTTTGGAAAAAAATCAAACACTTAATTACTTAACACTGTGGTGGTTCTTAGTAAAGTGAGGCACGGAAGCGCATGTGTATAAGAAGTGCACTTTTCTACTGTGCTGTGCTCTGCAGTCTTCTGAAAGTCATCCCTAGCTGCGTGGTTTGTTTGCAGGGTAGACGTGAGCTTCTAAACTGTTCGTATTCTCAGTCCTGAACACACAAGCCTGTTTCATGACTTTGTTTGAAGATTGGGTGTGTCTAATGTAGTGGAAATTCATCCATTCAATGTTAAGTATAGACAAAACACATTTCAAAGCCACATATAAAAGTCTTTTTAATTATCCATATTTTTAGGTTATTCATATGACTGCTTTTCTCCTTTCATGTGAATTGCTGAGAATTTTGTTATCCTTTCCGGTTCATTAAATCACTAAAATTCTCTGCTAGTGCTATAAATAAATATTGCCGGACCATGAATTGAGACTAGTTGATAAGGGCAGCTCTGTCCTGGTAACTGAGTCTTGCTCTTCGTTAAGCCACACTTTTCTTTGAATATGTGAATATCTACATCACGTTAAATTTTAGACTTCTCATGAAGCAAAGACTGGCTTTGAGCTCATGTGGGGACTTGCTTCAAGTTGAGCCTTAGTATTTTCGGTTGGCCTAGCTACAAGATGAATGCGATACTATAAAACCACGCTTGTGCTTAGACATGTTCAGAAGAGCCTCGGGACACATTTAATGGATGTCTAGGTTCTTTACCACTGTACCTCTTATAAACCTGCATCTCAGACAGCTAGAAATCTCGGAGACCACAGCTTCAGACCCTTTTAGCCCAGGACCAGCTGCTCTCTCCACAAATGCAATCTAGGTGGACTTGGAAGTGTTGGACTTCCTCCTTCCTCTTACATAATGATTGACAGCCGTTTGTGGATGTGGTGCCGGTAGCTCTTATTAGGAGTTATGGAGATGCAGGCCTCAGAGAACTCAGTCTAATCAGTCAACGTAAGGCAAGATGGAGTGTGGGAAGGTGCTGCATGGAGAGAGTCTGCAAGCACTGGGAAACCTTCCTTGTTGAGGTGTCTTGGGACTGCATTGTGCAGCTTGGATACGCTTCCGATGGGTGGGGTTGAGGGAAGAATGGGCAGTGAGGATGGCGGGAAGCAAGGGGCTCATTTGCAGTGCGGAATAGTCTTGTTTGCAAGGTGAGTGAATGAAGAGGACGAGTCAGAGAGCTTGGAGTCGCGTCATGGCATTGCAAACCATGTGGCTTCCTCTCCTGAGAAAGGTGAGACAGAATTTCTTCCCTTCTTCCTGGATAGATGCTTGGTCCACAGTCCTGGCCTGCTGATAGAACAGAGACCATCCTCTTTTCACATGGTAATCTCTTCAGGGAGAGCAGCCCAGAGTAGTTGGTTAAGACTTGGCCACATGCCACTTAATAAATATGCTTTTTTGTTTCCTTTTTGATGCTATGTTTTAAATTTTATGAGAGCATGTTACCTTAAGAAATACTGACATCAGCTAGGTCTTCTGTACTGAACTCTTAGTGGGTCATGGCATGCCTACAGCTGGCTAGTAAAATGTTTATGCCGAGCCCTGACTCCTGTAAATTTTGGTCCCTATTTTCAGACTGTTTGCTCTTCCTTGGTCTAGTTCCAGTCGTCATTGTTACCATGGATCCTGTATGAGTCCATGTAGCTCTTAACTGTGATGAAGTGATTTGCTTCTCTGTGTTATTAAAAAAATAATAAAAAGTAATTGTTAGGTTGCCACTTTTTGAAGACGTATTTTGACTTGAATGCTTTTGATCTGCTCATTATAGTTAAGGTACACATGTAAATAATGCCTACCTATTTTTATGTGCTGTAGAGATTGAGGAAACCCAAATTTAAGAACATATTTCCATGAATAGTCTTGACTTTCTAAGTGAGACTTATTTGAGCATTATTTTATGAGCAATTAAATTATTTTATTCTACACCTCTGGGCAGTTCAAGAACTGACCTACTTATATGGTAGCTCTTAATTAAAAAAAAAAAGACTTGCTGAATGTATTATTAGAATTGAATTTTTGTTTGAAATACCTTATTTTTTTAGTTCTGACATATGCAATGAAGTTAAGTATAGAACCCCCTGAGCTTTGATTCCGATTACAACAGCGTGAGAGATGGAAGCAACAAGGGAGTACTTTATCAGTGCCAAATAATTATTTCCTGCAGCAAATGGAAGCCGTCTCTGAATGGTGCTTGGTGTTTATATAGTTAAGGTTATGCCAACATTTACAGTACAGTGTGCCTTTATATTCTGTCCTTCACAACAGTCATGGGGAATTGTATACTTTAAAGCTAATTAAAAGTAGCATAAAACATATTTTTTGATTTGGACTTAGAACAGATTTTACTTTGAGTTTTTGCCAGAAGCTGGTTTCTATAATAATCCTCTGTCACAGGCTTCTAAATCTACTTGAATTTTTTGTTAGGCAATATTTTTGTGACTCAATTTAGAAGTGTATGTGCCTTTTTCCTTTTCACTTAGTGGTCCACTCCAGAAAAGATACGTTAGAAAGTGAGCGTGAAGGTTTCTTATAACTTCACATGTGTTCGTGTTGTCCCAAAGCGCACAATTTCTTAGTGTAGCGAATTTCTTATTTTTAGATCTTGTATTGTTTGCTTAAAATAACTATATTTCATTCTAGTCACATACATTGTAAAAATGAAGGGAGGCATTTCATTAAAAATTAATGGAGGCCCTTGTGAATGTGTGTCTTATGATGGTCAAAGTGCACAATTAGTAACTGGTCTATTCTTTTGCTAAAATAAGAAATGAAAGTTTGTTTTTCTGGCCTTGCCTTTACCAAACCTGTCCTTTTCATTTTACACTGATAAAAATTTAAAGTATAAGATCGGGGCCTGCCTGGTGGCATAGTGGTTAAGTTCGTGCCCTCTGCTTTGGTGGCCCAGGGTTTGCAGGTTTGGATCCTGGTCATGGACCTACTCACTGCTCGTCAAGCCATGCTGTGGCAGCATCCTCCTTACAAAATGAAGGAAGATTGGCACAGATGTAAGCTCAGGGCCAATCTTCCTTACCAAAAAAACTAAGATAATTTATGTCGTTATTTCAGGCATTTTAGCGGGTGGTAGTAAATTGAAGGATAGGAGCAATACTCGTTTCTAAGCACCCTTGAGTGACTTAAGGGCACAAGACACATTTAGGCCACTTGTATGTAGGAATCTTTTTTTATCTTACAGAACTTTTTCATTGAGAGTTGTGGATGTTGGGGAAATTGGTCTGTGACACATACCCCATTAATAATCAGGATTGATATAAAATATCTCTTGGTTTGAGGATTCTCTGGATTTTTTCTTCCCATCTCATGTGCTCATTGGAAAGGATGACTTTCCCAAATAGATCACGGCATTCTTTGGTTAAGGATATAAGTGAACAAGAGTTTTGGATTTTAATGACCTGATTGTGGAGATGTTTTCGGTTATTATCTTCCTAATCAGGAAAAAAAATGTCACTGGCAAAAGTAAAAAAATTATTATCTATGAAACAAATTTTTTTCTTTGACTAAAACACGTTATTTTTCTCCTCTGTCAACTAAAGCCAACAGACAATGTGGAGAAAGCTACAGCAATGGTTGGGCAAGGTTTTTTCCGTTCTACCATTTCCAGTAGGATTAATGCTCCTGTTAGATCAGAACCCTCTTCGGGCCTTCTCAGAGGAGACCTGATGCCTGATCTTACTTTTCTTTTGATAAATTGTTTTCAGGCACCTAGGAGAAAGTCATACGTATAATGGGATCATTGTAATATAATATTTTTACTTCCTAAACTAACATTTTAATATAGATTCAATTTTTTCTGAAAATAGTAATTTCTAAGGAGTCATTTAGCTCCTGGTTTAACCTGCGTATAACATTCTTGTAAGTTAATAAATCTTAGATTGATTGATAAAGTATCTTAAGCAAATATCACCCGGAGGGTTGATAGGCTTCTCCTAATCAGTTTTATGTACAGTCATGTGTCGCTTAACGATGGGGATATGTTCTCAGAAATGCGTTGTTAGGCGATTTTGTTGTTGTGTGAGCATCATAGAGTGTACTTAACACCAACTTAGATGGTATAGCCAGTACACACCTAGGTTATATGGTACTAATCTTATGGGACCACTGTCCTATACTTGGTCCATCGTTGACCAAAATGTGGTTATGCGGCACATGACTTTATGTGTATAGTTGTGTGCCATGAGAACATGTTAGAAATGTGTTAATACTAGAACTCCTACTAGACCCGGCACTGGGAATTCTCATTTTGGAATTTCCATGTAGACTTTGTACCATATCATCGGTTGTCATAGTAGCAGTCTCAGTTGAGAATTGTGATTATATACTTTATCAAATGACTACTCGATGAAAGCTCAATTATTCTAATGTAGTTCAGCCAGAATTCTGAGCCATCATCTTGCCTGGTTAGGGGAATAATTAACCAACCTAAAAAAGAGAGTCCTTTCTTTCTATTGAATTGTATATTTACTTTACTGACTGTAGGATGCTATCAGTGTAAGACACGCCATTATTTTATGTACCAAGAAGAAAGGGGAACAAAAGCCTAATAGGTATACTTATGAGATGCCATCAATTGTAAGATACAACCCAATTCCAGAGATGCTAAAATGGGGGGATGGGAGAGGAATCTTAGAATCAATAAAATATGGCACATATATATACACATAAGAGTTTGAGTTGGGCATTGATCGTAATCATAATATTAAAATGTATAAATAAATCACTATTTTTGCCACACATTATACAGATTCTTTAATAGAAGTGGAAAAGAGATTATGTAGTCAACACTTTTACACATGAGGAAACTTAGTATGAGATTGAGAGTATGTAAAATTAGCAGTTGGTTACCTTGTTTACCTTACCTTGTAAGTATCTTAAACTTTACGAAAGAATTCATAGTAGTATTCCTTTAAATAGCTATCTTTAGAGTATCTCATGATAAATTTTCTATATTCCTTTTCAAGATCATCTCATTTAACATATGATAGAGAATGATTTGGTATTTAGAGTTGTTTAGTATTCCAAACAAGGTACACATAGACACAGCTATAATCATCAAGTATCATGTTAAATGCCATATGGAATGTTACAAAGGATCATTGTTCCTGCCTTCAAAGAATTGTCACAGTCTACCTTTTGGCGTTTTTCCCCCCAAACCTAAAGTGTAATTTACGATTAATTGGAGCTCTGTGGTAAAAAGGAGACGACTTAGTGAGACTGTCCATGAGCGGTATCCTTCCAGGCAGTGCTGAGGTGTGCCTTGCTCAGATACTTGTCTTCGGTATCACCCTTGGTGCTAGAATTCAAACTGGGTCATTGTTGAGAGAGGCCAAATTGAGTTGCTAGTGTAGACATTGCTGGGTGGCTACCTTTGGCCTCTCTTTAGGAGCCGGGTACAGCAGGGCATCTGTCAACAGATGGTCTCACAGAGGTTCCAAGTCACTGCACGCATCCAGCCTGTATTGTGGGTTCCAGGCGCAGATTTGGGCATTGAGTGGGGACCTCATTACAATCCACAACACAAATCTTGATTATTGAACCTCACCTACAAAATCCAACCAAGATCACAGCAACCTGGGACCTGCTTGGCTCGTGGTGAGGCTGGAGCAAGCCTGCAGATGGGATGAAATGTCAGGAGCTGTGAAGCCTGGAAGATTACAAGGGCAGGGAGCCAGATTAATCTCTGGGTTTTTGTGTTTTGGCAGATTGTATCACAAATGTTTCCTGCTTTGGGTACAGTTGCTACTAATAGTGGAAGTTTACCTTTGCAGAGTGTTTTCAACTTTTATCAAACACTTTCACAAGCCTGTAATCGTGCTTTCACAATATGTGGGAAAGGGATGAGAGCTGGATATAATTACCCCCTTTGGCAGATGAGGAAAATGGGGCACATAGATATGAAGTAACTAACCTTAAGGTCACTTGTTCCTGGCTCTTGCTTTTTTCACTATACCTTGCTGCCAATCCTTGACTCCCTATTTATTTCCAAATTTAGAAAGCATATAGTCTGTTTTGCAGCAGCTGCTGCTATCTTTAGGGACTACCAACATTTTGTTGCCCATTTTTTTTACCTCCTAAAATCACAACCATAACTTTTGCTCGGTATTGAAGAGAAAAATAAGCAAACACAAAACACTCTTCCATCATGATTTACCAGGTTAAATTACTCTCCTCTGTTACATTCTGTGGATAATTTTTGTAAGTGATGTACATCTCTTCAGTCCACCCTACTGTATTTAATCCTCACTTAACCTCATTGCTATAGCTGTTTAGGTGTCTTGTAGTAAACCAAATACAAGCCCAGACAAGGAATCCAGAGTTAGAGCAAGTTAAACAAGAGTTGTCAGCATCATTAGTTGTTGACATAGAATTTGTTGGTGTTAACCATGAATGGCAGGTTTTCTAACTTTCATTTGACCTGGGGATCCTCTTCTGTTTATGAGCAGCTTCCTCGGGGCTGCTATGCTTTTATGTTCCTCCCTGTTACAGTTTCTCTCCATTTCTTGCCACAAAGTGTCCTTCCAGCTTTCCTCCTGCAGGGTGTGGAGTATCTATGTTTGTGGTTTTCATTTCTAAATTTTGCACATATATTTTCCTTTTAAAGTAGATTAGAAATATGTAGATAAAGCATTATGTAAGGATGTGGAGTAATTACTGTGGATGAAAATTAGAGTGAGTGGAACAGATAAAATTAGTCAAGCAGTCAGGAAATCTGCATTCTTGTCCAGACGTTGCCCCACTACTTAACTATGGACTTATCACAAATCCCTTAATCTTCTAGACACCTAGTTACCTTATCTGTGGGCCCAAGTTGCTTTAAATGATTTCTAGAGTCCCTTTCAGTTCCAAAGCTCATTCAGCTCCTCAAACTGAATAAACAAGATTCTACTAAATAAAGGTAGGATGTCTGGCACACCTTCCAGTGGTGAAGAGGATGGTCTAAATGAGTTTGGATTCTCTTGATAATTTTGTTACTATTGGGAATTGAATGAAAAGAGGTAAAGGTGGTTGAACTTTCTGACAATTATAAAGATCTTCTGAAACTCAGTATTATTAGCTGACCTTTTAAGCTTGGTTCCTAAACTTGCTCACAATCGCATGCCTGACACCTAATACACTGTATGATCAGCATGGTTTATTTTGGGAAAACTTTCACAAAAGATTGATGGGCTTCTTGACCTATTTACTTCATTAGGGCAGATTAACTGTGTGTCATAGCAGCTTTAAAATTCAAGAGATGTAGGACCAAGTAACGGCAATACTAGTTGGAAAAAAATTTTAGAGATGAAATTTGACAATAGACATTGGGCTGGTACCCTTTATTATTCTTCAGCCCAGTGGGTGATGTTTCTGGGCTATAGATTCAACAGATGGGTTTTAACTATTTATATTTAATTTCAAGAGGAGGAAAGGAGCCATAATTTGTGTTCAATGAAATAGACATAGAAATGAAAGCAGAGAATAGAGTGATACAAATATTTTGTATATTCAAATTGATCTTAGATTTTCATAGTCTTTTTATTGTGTTCCGAGTCATGAATTACTCTGAAAGATGGATGACAGCTATGGCTTCTCTTTCCAGAAAAATAAATGCAAACTCCCAATTTTGCCTGCAATTTGAGGGATTTCATGGGCTCCAATGGGTCAATGTAAACTTGCCTTCTTCCTCATTTGGTGGCTTCTGGTCCAAATTCTTGATGGAAAAGAACCCTGGAATGTTAAACCTTAAAAGCCCTTAGAAATAATCAATACCAGTGTTACTTAAACTGTAGTCATGAAATCAATGGAATGAATCAAGACCAGCATTAAAAAGAAAAGAAAAAAAGAATAAAATAGAAAATGTCAGAGTGTATCATAACATGCTAAGAGTAAGTTTTGTTTTGTGAACTCTTTCCGTTTGTATATGTGTGTGTGTTTATGTGTGTTGGTCCTGAGTCCGAATATAAAATGCATTTCTTACCGTAGATTGATGGTAATGTTTGAGAAACACCCATCTATTCTAGATGAACCTCTTCATTTTGTAGCTGAGGAAACTGAGGCCCTTAAAGGCTAAATGATTTCTTCAGACGAACACTGTTTCCCATCCTCCTGCACACAACCCCATTAATTTTTAGTGGCCAAGCCGGAACTGAACCAGATTACTTGATTGCTAATTTTGCTGTGCCACAGTGCTATTTTTTTTAAATAGAATTGTGAAGTAGATTATTTAAAAATACTAAGTGGTTCATCTGTTTTACATTTGGCATTTTTTAATCCTTTATTTTCCTCACTAAAATCGTCTCTCTTATTATCTTTTAAGATAATCTAGGCTTGAGCTTCTTCTTTCTAGAGAGTTGAGATATTTTGAGGCCTCTCACTTGGCTGTCTACACGCCTGAATTTTGAGATTTAGGGCCTGATCAGAAGAATTTCAGAATAAGATGTGAAGGTGTTAAGTTTTATGTCCAAGCCAAATTAAATTATTTTGAATTATTTGTCCATTCACTTGATAATTGAATGCAAAATGTGGCACCACATGTTGGTACTGGATCACTGGGGAAACGCTGTAACATTCGTTAGTTATCTACACGAGGTTCTCTCAAACCTGAATGTCATACAGATTACCTGGAGGGTCTTGTTAAAATGCAGATTCTGGCCCACAGTCTGGCTGAGATTCTGAGTTTCTAACAGGCTCCCAGGAGATGCTGCTGCTGCTCCTTGGACCACATTCTGAGTGGCAAGGACCTTATGTCACCTGCCCATTACCATGGTAAGGAAGATCTCAGTTGTCATTTTAACATTTCCATACTTTTCAGATGGCTGCAAAAATTCAAATATTCTTATTTTTTAAAAATTGGATTAGTTTTTGTAGTTACTAACATAACTTTAGAACAGCCATGCTTTCAGTCCCTACATCTGTGAGTTGTAATGCCCCCACTGCAGCACTGTTCTAGGTAACTCAGACTTAGCCCTGCTTCATTTTACTAGTATATTCAGGCTTTTCCACAAAACTTAATTTTCCAATTAACAGAAACGTTTAATTTCGGAAGGAACGTTTTCTAAAATATATAATATTCTTTCTTCAGCTATTACATGTGTTTTCCTTTTCTTTTTATTTTAGTGGTGTTAGAGCACTGTTTGTTTCAGGCTTTCTTGGTAAAGGATATTGAGCTGTATGTGAAATGAATAAAAACCACAAAGCCTCCTAAGGTCTTGTGCCTGCTTTTTTATGCTTTTTCTATTTTGTCTGTCCATCTGCCAGTTATGAGGATGTCTGTCTCAAATTAACTCGTATCCCTTTCCATTCTAGTTGATTATTCTCTCACCTGAAAAGCTGAAAAGCCGGCTACGGATGGGCTTCATCCCAGTCAGAAGGACCTCCCTGTCCTGGGGGCTTTCCTAGGAAGGTGGTGGTCAGCAAGTTCAGTAGAAGTTGGGAGGGAGAGAAAGCTTTTGGTTTTAACCATATCCTGAATAGTTAGCTCATATAGGAACTCATTTGTTTCTTCTTCATGCCTTTCTCCACGTGCTTTTTAAAACTAGTTTCGAGATCTCTCTCTTTCCAGCATTGTGTTAGTGTGTTTGAAGGCGATTTGGAAGTATGTGTATGTATGTGTGTGGTAGCCCTGTGATTGGGAACGTGATAATTGTGACAAATAAGCAGCACTTCAGGGTCCATCTAAAATGGGTGTGAATAACCTTGTGCTAAAGATCACGGTTCTCTTACACACAGTCTGTCTTGCTTTGCTTTGCAAACAGTTTTAACAATAATAATGATGACAAGAGGATATTCCTTGGTTCAGTTTAGTGATTTAGGATCCCAGGGATTTAAAGCCTGATTTCTGGTGTGTTGTGTTTAGTAGATTCTGAGTTATAATAGCAATCGAAGCTCCCGTTTGTGGGGCCCTCACTCAGCCAGGCATTCATCATTCAGATGAATGTTGTGCCACCAGCAGGGCTGTGGTCAGGAAGGGGGCATTAGATTGGGGGGCGGGCAGCACATGGCTGCTGCGTTCCAGCAAGTGAGAGGAATCCAGATATTGGGGGAGATTGAGCCTCTTCATTAGTCTCTCTCTAGAATAGATAAGCATGTGCGGAACCTACAGCAGGTGTTTTTGTTTTTTCTTAGCTCAACAAAGCTAGAAATTGTTAGATAATTCACATCTATGAAAACCGCATAGTACTTTATATCCTTCTGATTCAAAGCGGAGAGAACATGTTTGCATTTTAACTAGGCAGCGTCAGAACATTTATCATTTTGAATAGCCTTATTGTTGGTTTTGTGTTAGAAGTTGTGGATTATATTCTTTAATTTAAAATTATGACAAGGGTAAATGTAGCCATAACATTTAGGTTGGATTTTGAGATCCTGAACAGGGCCTCATCTGGCATATTTTTAGTCAGTTACAACCTTTAAACACTGATTACTGATATTACCGACGCTGGTGTTTTCTCATTTGAATCTTATTTTTACATCTAGAGTTTGTCTTATGTTTAGGTGCAGCTAAGCCTACTAGTGTAATCTTAGTCTAATTAACAGTATTTTGTGATCTGGGACTCTTGTCAAAGATCGTTATAGGAGCTAGAAAACATTGGGAGGCAAAGTGCACACATGACTTCTCTCCTTTTGCTGGAGACTGTAACTTGAATTCAAAGAGACTGAAAAAGAAGAAAAATAGCATTCTTTTCCATTAAGCTGTAGTACATATGTTTAGTATGGTTTTGCTATTAATAATCCCTTTTAGCTGGTAGAATGGAAGATTTTGTTTGATGTATTTGAAACTAAATGCTGCCGGGATAAAGATTTTAGTAGAAATATAGACTAGAAATCAGTCTCTACCCTTTGTTAATTCATCCTGCTTGTTTAACTGGAGAAATAAAAATGTACATCTACTGAAGAGAAATCTCTGGGCGTAAACTCTTCCTTTCCTGTTTTCAAATATATTTCATAGGTTTATCTTACGTAAATATACAGTAATACAGTACACAAGAGAAAGCAACTGCTGTTCCTTTAATATCAGAACTATGCACGTTACAATAGGTGTCACTGTTTTGCTTGGTCCAATCATGATTGGTGACTTCAGCTATTGGCTCCGAGCACTGGCTGTCTGACTCCATCTGCAGGGCTGTAATACCTACTCTCCTCCGATCCGTTCACCACACAACTTCGGCCGGCTGAACAGACTCGCGCGGCTCCAGCACATCTTGCTAACCTAATTCAGAAAACAAGTGCCACGGCTCTCTGCCTGTCATCTTTGCTCAGTGTAGCATTTTCAGGTGATCTAGGAAACTGGGTTATTTTTATGAGCAAATAAGAGAAACAGGAATCATGATGGGGATGTATTTAACAGACCCAGTACTGGATAAAACTTAAAGCCAGTTTCTATTCAACATAGTGAAAAGGTCACCTTGCCCAGCTGAGAAAAGAAGCAAAATATCAGCGTGTTGGTTTCTGTTAACATCTTAGCTCGTGCTGGCCTCTTTTCCTTGATGTTTGCACCAATTTGGGATATCTGGCTATAAAGAGAGACACACTGTACTCATGGTAGATGACAAGGAAAAGAACATGAAATGTCTCACCTTCTTCTTGATGCTTCCAGAGACGGTAAAGAACAGGTCCAAGAAAAGCTCGAAGAAAACAAATACCAGCAGCAGCAGCAGCAACAGCAGCAAGTTGCCTCCAGTTTGTTATGAAATCATTACCTTGAAGACTAAAAAGAAGAAGAAGATGGCTGCTGATATATTCCCCCGTAAAAAGCCAGCCCCCTCCAGCAGCACCACTGCCCAGCAGTACCACCAGCAGAATCTCAGCAACAATAACCTTATTCCGGCCCCCAATTGGCAGGGCCTTTATCCCACCATCAGAGAAAGGTAAGTGCCGGCAGGGCCAGCATATTTACTTTAAAAGTTTTCCTGTGTTGAAGTTTCTGCTTTTGCGTAACCTGTAATGTATTTTAACGTAAATCTGTGTTTCCTCTTTTCCCAGAGCTTTATTGGTAATGGAAAACTGCCCTGTATCTTTTCCAAAACAGTACAGCTGTTTTCCTCTTAGATAAAAATGTTTTTGCAAGCTGTAACATTTAAGTGACAGGGTTGTGTCTATGGGCCATAGAAGATAGAAACCTTTTATTTGTCCTTAGTCTAATGAAAAGTTTGGGTAACTTTTTTTAACTTTAGTTACTTTCCATGTGTTTGCAATGATTACAAATAGTTGTTTAGTTGGAACCTTTATTTGTAGTTTTACCCTGAAGTTATTAAACTCTTGCTTAGCTTGCAGATCTTTTGTGGGTTTTGTGTGTTGGGGAGGGGGTATTAAAAACTCGGCTGCTGTGAATTAATGAATTGCCTCTGTTTATAGAAATGCGGTGATGTTCAATAATGATTTGATGGCAGATGTACATTTTGTGGTTGGGCCACCAGGTGGGACTCAGCGGTTGCCAGGACACAAAGTAAGCAACAGCTGCATTACCCATTTAGTTCTGAGATTTACAAAGAGGGACCCTCTCTGAGCCTGGAACTTGGGGTGGGCAGCTTGCCGATGGCAGGCAGTGCATGTTGTACCCGACCACAGAGACGCAACAGCCTCTCCAAAAGGCCTTGGCCACGCTGAATTTTTTTCTTTGTTTCCTTCTACCCTGCTTTATATCCCGAATAAAAACATCCCCTCTTAACTCTCTGGTCATGGGAAGTTGTGACAGGTTGGGAAAGTCATGTGTTTACTCTTCCCCTAGAAATCAGTTAGATAAGCTTTTATTTTATTTATTTATTTTGTAATGAGGGAACTTGTGCATTAATCTGGTTAATCCTTGAGATAATTAGCATAGAGACAGTTTTGCATGAACAGCTACCTTATGCTTTCACAGCAAGATACCCTGTACCTTGACTTTCTCAAAAGAGCAGGTTTAGGTCTCTATGCCCACTAAACCTGATTGCTTAGAGTTGTTATTTGGGATTGATTTGAGAAAATGCTTTCAATTTAGTGCATGAAATAAGATTTCCCTTTCTCTACAGTATGTTTTAGCTGTTGGGAGCTCTGTGTTCCATGCAATGTTTTATGGAGAACTTGCTGAGGACAAAGATGAAATCCGTATACCAGATGTTGAACCTGCTGCTTTTCTTGCTATGTTGAAGTAAGCATCGTTCGTCTGTTGGGAAAGAGTTTGTTTATGCTGTATTTGTACTCTGCTGGTTTCACAGTTAAATGTAAGTTGTGTGTCACAGAAAAGGGAGGCTGATGAAGAAAGAGGGTGCTGCTTACCTTGTAAAGGTTTTGGAGAAAACTGCTGTGCATCCCTCAGTAGGAAGCGTGTGGAATGGTGCAGGCATTTATGTCACACCATGGCGTGGGATTTGGGGGCAAGTGGCACATATAGTGATTTGATTTTTAACAACTTATAATTAAAGAAAAATAACTTCCTGGTATAGGTACTACCTGATCGAGTGTGTTCTCTCTGGAAGCATTTTGTGTGAAGAAGTCTTTAAGGATGTAAATTAGATTTTTGTTTCACAATTCCAGAAATTATATACCTTGTTTAAATACCACCAGTTAGGAAATTTTTTAGTTTTCTAGGAGTTATTATTTCTTTTTAGCAAATGTAAAACATTTTTTGTTGAAGTAATCTGATCTTTATGCACACGTACTTACGCATACTCTTACATAAAGTCAGATAACGTTTCTTAAGGATAAGCATTTGCATTTGATAGTAGAGGAAAAGTTTTTGAGCGAGATGAATGGTTTTCTATGGATTTATACAGAAAAACTTTAATTGGTAACATAGCAATGTAAAGCTGTAAGATATATTTATTAAAAAATAGTTTTATGTTGCATGAGTCTTTTTCAGAATCCAGTACATATTAACCAGGTGAATAGAATTCACTTCTTTGACATGTGCTGGTGCTAGACAATGTGATAGTCCAGTCCAGCAAGTGATTAAAATCCAGTAATTGTTCTAAATAATATTTATATGATTTTTGTTAAATCTTTATTCTAGCACACCAAGTATATCAGAGTTCAAGGTTATCTGCTACTGTAGGGATTTCACTTCACTGGAATAAATATGTTTATTGAACAAATTACTCAGGGGGTCAAGTTGGACAGTAATCCCACAAATGGTTAAAATGTTGCTATGTATTGTCTGCTGCCTCCTGAAAAATAAGTATTATAGTTAATTCTAGAAGTTAAGCATTATAGTTATTTAATAACTTATAAGTATTTAATTCTTTGTTCGTGTTATAGTTTTGAAATCTAATTGCTGCTGACTAGAACTTTCGCAGTGGGAGATAGGGAAATTAAAGGCCAGTGAGCATGTGAGGTACCAAACGTAAACTAATCCACCGCTTTTAACCAACCAACACTGTGACCTTTATAATCTTTTAGAAATATACGTACAGAAACCAATTTTACCTGTCAGAGTTTTTGCTTTGTCTTGCTTTTTCCCGTCAAGTCGGCCTGGCGTATTTGACATTATCTGTTGTGGAGGAGAATGCTTACACTAGTTCAGCATTTTGGCTTCACTGCAGTTGAGTAGTGTTATGTTGTTCCAGATATATACGTAATTAGGAAACATGAGTAAGAAACACAGAGAGTTTTGGTTCAGCTAAGTCATTTGATTCATCATTTGACAAGCATCTTTTCTCACAAATACATTGCCTAGAAGATATCTTGATACAGCTTTTTAAAATTCTCCGTGCAGTGCATGTGAAGTGGTAAGAATCAGAAACGTAGTAAGGTGCCATTTGCTGCTGTGCCATAGTGGATCAGTACAGTGTTGTCACTGGGGATAGTGGAGGCCAGGTTTGCCTCACTCCTGCATCGTGGGTGAGTAGCAAGTACACCTGGAAAGGGGTTTGTCAAGAAAAAGGGACGATTGCTCACTTGACACTTCTAGGGTCAGAGCTATAAAGTGCTGACTGTGCTGGAGTCCTCCCTGCAGTCCTGATTCTCGGGTCAGAGCATCACCAGCAGCAGGAGTTTTGTCAAGTGCTCTCGCTGGTCATAGGTGGCTTAAGGAGAGAAAGGGCTTCTGGGAAACAGAAATACAGGTTCCGTTTGTGATTGTGGACATTTTTCTTACTGCCATCATTGTGGTTTTTTAATTTTTTACGGAAGCCCTTGCAAATTTCTTATTATGTGTGGAAGGAAAACTATGACTTACTATGTGAAAGGAAAACTTCACAGCAGGTAGCCAAACACCTTAGCTGGAGACATTTAGAAATGAAGTATCAGTCTGTATTTTTCACCTCTATGTAGTTCTCACTGACTGTGCTAGTCAACCGCAGAATCTCATAGAGGCAGACGGTTTCTTCCTTCACGTACCATTTTGATCAACTGCCATCATCCCCCAAAACATCAAGAAGTGTTTTATCTGCTAGTTGAAGGACACTTCACAGGAACACAGAGATAGTGCACATTTGGGTTTTCTTACTTTGTCTTTTAATTAAATATATCTGAAAACAAGAATTCTTTAATTTTGAAAGGGGAATGAATATGTGGGGGAGAAGAGTTTTTTTTTTTTTTAAAAGCCAGATGCAAAGCCTATGTTGGAGTCTTTGTAAAGGTAACTGGAAGATTGTTTTGAAGTCCATATTTGATAATATATTGAATTTGGAGCTACTTGAAAATATCTTATTTAATCTCAGGTTTTATTTTGTGGTTAGGAGAAATCCAAGTCATACTGAGTTAAAAGCATTAAGATATAGTCATTGCTGACATTACAGTATTAAAGGCATTTGTTTCTATCTGAATGTGCAGAAAAATTTTAAAGTAAAACTCTCTCTCTCTCTCTCTCTCTATATATGTATATTTTGCTCCTAAAACATAGGGGATTATACTTTGATTAGATATAATACAGGATATGTAATAGGTTTTGCTATTTTTTTCTTAATATTAACTATCTCTGATATGCAGTTCTTTCTCTAACAGTTCTAGTATCTTCTGATTTTGTTGAGAAGACATTGAATACAGCTTATAAAATAAAGGCTAGAATGGGTAACAAAAAGTTAATGTCTTTGGTTATACAAACTTACTACTGGGTTGAAGTATTAATAGTTTATGAATATATTTTAGATTTTTCTTTAATCCCTAATCATTTTTGTAACAACTATCACATAAGATGATTTTCTTGGAACTCAGTTGAAAATAGTTGCATCTTTTCTTGCTCGATGTGCTTGTTTTGTGAGAATTCCGTTTACATGCTCTGTGCTTCCTTTCAGATATATCTATTGTGATGAAATTGATTTGGCTGCTGACACAGTGCTGGCTACTCTTTATGCTGCCAAAAAGTACATTGTCCCTCATCTTGCCAGAGCCTGCGTTAATTTTCTGGAGACCAGCCTGAGCGCCAAGAACGCCTGCGTGCTCCTCTCCCAGAGCTGCCTGTTTGAGGAGCCAGACCTGACCCAACGTTGCTGGGAGGTCATTGACGCCCAGGCTGAGTTAGCTCTCAAGTCTGAGGGATTCTGTGATATTGACTTCCAGACACTAGAAAGTATCCTTCGCAGGGAAACTCTGAATGCCAAAGAAATTGTGGTTTTTGAGGCAGCTCTCAACTGGGCTGAAGTAGAATGCCAGCGACAAGATCTAGCTTTGAGCATTGAAAATAAGCGCAAGGTCCTTGGAAAGGCACTTTACTTGATCCGCATACCCACAATGGCCCTGGATGATTTTGCAAATGGTGCTGCACAGTCCGGAGTTTTAACTCTCAATGAGACCAACGACATCTTCCTCTGGTACACTGCAGCCAAGAAGCCCGAGTTGCAGTTTGTGAGTAAAGCCCGCAAGGGCCTTGTCCCCCAGCGCTGTCACCGTTTCCAGTCGTGTGCCTATCGGAGCAACCAGTGGCGCTATCGGGGCCGCTGTGACAGCATCCAGTTTGCAGTTGATAAGAGAGTGTTCATCGCTGGCTTTGGGCTCTATGGGTCCAGCTGTGGCTCTGCGGAGTACAGCGCCAAGATTGAACTCAAGCGGCAGGGCGTTGTCCTAGGGCAGAACTTGAGCAAGTACTTCTCAGACGGCTCCAGTAATACCTTCCCTGTGTGGTTTGAGTACCCAGTGCAGATTGAGCCAGACACCTTCTACACAGCCAGCGTGATACTGGACGGCAACGAACTCAGCTACTTCGGACAAGAAGGCATGACGGAAGTTCAGTGTGGGAAAGTGACAGTCCAGTTTCAGTGCTCATCGGATAGCACCAATGGCACTGGGGTACAGGGAGGGCAGATCCCTGAACTTATATTCTATGCTTGAACACTCCCCGAAGCAGTGTGAGCCCTGAGGAGCACATCTGGTTCCTCCTTGCTTGATGCTTAGCTCGTCCGCAGATACGTGATAAGCGCAGGGAATTTGTGATGAATGAAGCTGTAGGCAGTTTCTTATTTTTTTCAGCCTTTTAATTATGTACAGGCAAAAGTGCAGCATTCAGCTTTTAACTAGATGCTTAAAAGAGCCAAGTTCTTACTAAGACTCTGTGGGGTTTAGAGTGTGTCTGTATGCCTGGGGAGATTTTGTGCTCTTTTCTAACTGCCCCATTGACCTCTCAGTTTTGTCCCCCTAAAGAAAATTTTTGGATCACCTTGAATTTCCTTTTGGGCTTCATTTTGACAAATAGAAATAAATAGTCTAAAATAATAATGACAAGAGTTATTTTTAAACAGAACCCCTCTTCCCCAAAAAACAGATAGACCTCAGTGTACAATTTTGAAAGAAGTTTTGCTTCATAGTAAGTAATAATTTAGAAAGTAGGCAACAGTCATGTTTAGCTCTTACGTTATTTCCTTTTAAATATTTTACTTCTGGGCATTGCTTTTTCTTAAACCCTAAATTCATGAGATTGTTATATATTAAATACTGCAGAGTGTCAATGTAAAATAGGAAAATAAGAAATCAGATGTTTGTTTAGACCGTGACTTCTGCTACAAGCAGATTTATATTCTTTTAGTTTAGAAGACAGAATATTGCAGTACAGACACTTCTTTTAGAAGTAACTCAATTATAGAACTTTATTGTCTTTAGAAAAAAGTTGCAGGCCTATTAATTTAAACTAAAACAGTTTAAAAAGAAAGCCTGAAAATGTCCCATACTACAAATAGTTTAATTGGTGGCGCATTTGAATACACAGTTTGGAAAAGTCAAACTCTTTTCTTCTCCCCGCTTAACTTCTGATCCCCACCATTTACTTGTTTTCATAAGTCATACTGTATAGAATTCCTATTCCCCTTTTCCCATTAAAAGAGGACCAAACAATTGTTTAGATGAATGGAATAACAGTTTTGTAGCACTAGATGTTAATGTCATAAGATACTTTTATTCATTGATTTTTTTTTTTTAATTTGAGATGTACTTTACCTGATCTTTGACCACATACTGTCTTCTTAGTTCATTATAATTCTGTCCTGTTTCTGGACTGCTAGAATCTGTCTGGCCTCTGGCCATCTTAAAGTGCCAATATATGCCTGCAGGGTTTTAAAAAAATGTTCGGGGGAGATGCACTTGATTATACCTAATTTTAATGCATCAGCATCACATCCAGCTCTCTTATTTGTCCATGGATGATAGAAACAAAGGAGGGAAAAGCTCATCAAAAAGTTCTCCTCCAGTGATGGCTTGTGATGTTTAGTGCCTGTGACCCTGGTAGTGTCCAGTGTGTCCACTTCCAGTTGAAGTATCCATGTGTTTCTGGGCAGCTTTTCTGCTCAGTGATCCTGAGATGGCTTCCCCCGCCACCCAGAGTGTGGTCCCTGGCCGCCTCCTTCTCCTGCTCTACGAGCCCAAAGCTGGCTTGTTTGGAGCCAGGGGTTAGTCCTGGGGTGGGTACGTGTGCGTGGGCCCCTGTGCGCATGCAAGTGCGTTTACTGACTCAGGAATTGCCTCCTCCCTGCCTGGCCAGTGAGAGGTGGGACAGAAACGGTCCCCCTGCTGGCCCCAGCAAAGCCCCAGTGAGTGACTGTCCTTATCTTATCACTGTGCTTCTGGGCCACTTCTTCCCCTGTAGACATAGGCTTGTTGCTTTTGGCCAGCTTCCCTGATGGAGGAGAACACTGGATTATGGAAACGTTCTAATCCCCTTTGCCATCACCTATGTCTGTTGGCATGGACGATCAAAGCTGTTACCGGTGATTATAGATGAGTATTCCCAGGACAGCTTTCTAAAATTATCAAACGATTATTTCTTATTAGGGACATGACAGATAGGAGTGTTGGCAAAACATTGATGAAATAAAGGTACATTTTTAGTTAAAAAATACTTCTGCAAAGGATTTTGTTTTTAAATTATGGTTAAACCTTTCAGTAACTCATAGCTACCATGCAAATTGGTAGACTATGTACCTGATTAGAAGGCACTCGTTTTTAGGCCAGAGGAGAAGAAACGTTATTTAGCACTAATTTCATCATATGAGGTTTTGTTGGGGTGGGTGCGATAACCTTACAGTGAAGATTGTTCATTCAGTAACACTCACTGTCAGTGCTTCTGTGAGCTCAGCTGCCCTCCGTGTGGTGAAAGCCGCGTGAGATCCTGTACACTGGGTATAGAAGAACTTAATTTTGTGTTAATTACTAGGACTTTAAATTTTTTTCAAAAAGACAGTTCCACCGTTTAATTGGCTGGTGCCGAGAGCTGTGGGTTAAATTTGAAAATTGTATTTAGAATAAGAAATTTTCTATTGTAAATCCTATTCTCCCTTCTGCATTTTTAACAACATGGCATGAAGGCTAGTGTGCTTGCTTTATTTTCTTTGGTAATCTCGAATTTTGTAGCTTTTAAAACTAGAGAACATTGTTCTGACAAGGCGGGCAACTCTAGTGTATAAACACAACTTTATTAAACAGAATACTCTGTAGATGCTTTTCCCGATGTATCTGGCAGTCCTTGTCATTGTTCGTATTGGGGATAAGGGGAACTAGGCTAGCGGTTCTAATGTAACATTCTTTAAGCATATCTTAATATAGTATTTAAGTAAATGGTCTAATTTCTACATAATTATTGCACTGAAATGTCTTTTTTGTTTTTTAAGGTGTTTAAATAAGCTCAGCTAATTCAAGACACTAGCCCCTTGTGCATCAGAGTGCTTGAATTTAGTAGCTTACAGCATTATTTATGAAGGAAAAATCTATAAATATGAAGTACCTCATGTTGAATGTTATTGTACTGTATTTTTAATGTAACAGTGCAGATCTTGTTAGACACATGAATGTGTATAATCATGTTAAATGCAAATAAAAATAAAACTGGTTCATAGATTTGTTTTCCTTAGTATTTTTGTAGGTCCCTTGAAGTAGTAAAAAAATCATTCTGGCACTTTTGGTGCCACTGCCTTTTACAGAGATGGTTTTGCAGGACCATTTGTTTGCTAAGTATTCAGATATCTTTGATTCCTAAGAAGTGAAAATTTGAGGCAAAAGCATAAGAGAACAATGAATATGTTAATCAATTACATTGTTCGCAATTTGACTGTTGAGGTAATGAGAGGGAGTGAATGGATGCATTTATATTCCCCTTATGGCATTTGTGTTTGGCTGGCGTTCTGCCGCTGTAGTTGCTCAAACGTCTGTGGATCTCACTGGATGTAAGGGGGTATTGATACATCTAGCTTTAGATGTGACCAGTGCCCCTTCTTCCTGCTGTGTTACAATAGCTTAAGTCTAGGAATAAAAAAAATAAATGACATATGAGACTTCTGAATATAATTTTTATGTGCTCAACTAGTTTTCCATTGCATTGCCCTGTATCAATTATGTATATACACAAATACATTCATGCATAGTCATATACACACACAGAAATATTTTTTCTCTTCAGCTTTCTGTTGCTTTTATCCTAGAGTTTATTGTGAAACCGTGTATTTGCTTAACCACTTCATCTACTCAGAGTTCAGTTTCTATAGCATACCTGCTCAAAGGATTTTTGGAATTATTCCAAAGAATAAGGGAATTGGAAATACCCATTCTCATCAGCTTAATTACAAATACCCCTTGAACTGCAAAGCCTGGGAAGAAAGCAGGAAGGAGGAAAGCTTTCTTGAGGAACTAAGCAGTATGAAACTTGGGGGCCCAAACAAGCAAGTGGCCCTGAAAACCTGTGGTCATCCTAAGTGTTCATTAGATTTAGGGCTTTGTGTGCCTTTGAGGTGCTTCAGGAGAAGCTGACTACACTTTTTTTTTTTAGCCCTGAGCTAACTGCTGCCAATCCTCCTCTTTTTGCTGAGGAAGGCTGGCCCTGAGCTAACATCTATGCCTATCTTCCTCTACTTTATACGTGGGATGCCTACCACAGCATGGCGTGCCAAGTGATGCCATGTCCGCACCCAGGATCCGAACCCTGGGCCGCTGAAGGAACATGCGTACTTAACCGCTGTGCCACCGGGCCGGCCCCTGACTACACTTTTTGATTTCTAATTAGTACATTTCAACATTCTTTCTGAGCCATTTGCATTTATTGACCAACTACTCCCTTTGCTCAAAACTTCATGTTTTCTTCCCCTTTTTAAGACTGTATCATCTAACAAAACTAAAAGTGGGAAATTTTTCAAATATAGAATTTCCTCATTTATTCCATAACCAACATAAGCACTGGTGAGAAGAGCTTTTCAACCAAGACATTGTCAGGTGAGATGAAAATATTTGTTAGGAAGAAGAGGTGAAGACGCTAGTGACCTTGTCACATACCAAGCAGTGTAAGACACTAGCAGCTGTAGATGGGTTGCTGAAGAATCTGAGTACGCTTTCCCAACGTGGGCATCTCCCCCTGTTGCTTCTTCTGAACCATTTTTGAGGGAGGGTGTAATTCCTATTTATGCAGACCCTAACTGTTGTTATGGTCGTTTTCTATTTGCCCGTTTACTTAAATGTCCATTGGACAGTAATTTTACCAGCAGATGCTGCTGTCTCATATTTTGCCGTCTAAAAAGTCCCTAATCTTAAGATAACATAGTTAAACAAAACACCCACTCTTTACTTTGTCAACTCTGTAGTTTAAATAAATCAGGTCATAATTAAAGTTACCTATTAGACTACTGGTACTTAAACAGTGGTTTACTCCTACTGAGTTCTCTTTAAGCTGTTCTGGGTAGTAACCAGTCTAAGTGGTATGAAGGAGGGGCTGTTGACTTCCAGAATGATGTCCTTTTTTACTTCGTGTAACAACAGTAACAAAATTATTTCAAAATTAAGGTATCTGTTTTGTTTTTATGACTTTGGTGAGTAGTTTAATAGACTCTCTTTTTTTTTTTTTTTTTGTGGAATTTTTTTTTTATTTATTTTTTTTTTATTAATGTTATGATAGATTACAAGCTTGTGAGATTTCAGTTGTACATTTTTGTTAGTCATGTTGTGGGTACACCACTTCCCCCTTCGTACCCTCCCCCCACCCCCACTTTTCCCTGGTAACCACCGATCAGATCTCCTTCTCAATATACTAATTTCCACCTATGAGTGGAGTCATATAGAGATCGTCTTTCTCTGACTGACTTATTTCGCTTAACATAATGCCCTCGAGGTCCATCCACGTTGTTGTGAATGGGCCAATTTCGAATAGACTCTCTTTTACATCAGTTTTAGAGGATTGAAATTATACCTGAAAAAATTTAGAAATAAGGCATACGAGTGGCCTTGTTAATTTTAGCATGAAATGTTGCATTAAATCTTTATGAACAGCATATAGCATGAAGACCATTTTGTGAGAAACCAGAAAGGTCTATGAGATAATATTTTGATATGTAGCAGTTTTTACTCTGGGGCTGTACAATTTGCATTTTCCTTCCTAAACTACTATGTTCAAAAAGTCAAAAGATAATGACTAAGGAAGCTGCAAAATAATCTTTCAAAGCTTGAAGCAGAGGGTCCCACGTTCTGCTATACAGTAGAATACATAAAAAATGTACTTTCGAGAAACATTCTATGCATCTTACAGAATTTTCATTTTTGTGGTTGTCTTAACCAGTTCTAAACTTTATTTCGGCACCACTTTATAATAGTGCTGAAACAAACTCAGGACATCTGAGACAACAATTCAAAATTAAAGAAAAATTCCAATTCTAAGAATGTTTGGAGGCATTAATGGACTGATGGATACTTATTGTTTCCTGGATAATTTAGCTCCTGAGGAAAGAGATAAGATCTAATAAATCATTCAAAGGATTAACCCAACGTTTATTCATTCATTAATTATTTATTGATCCTTTGCCTCATCCCAAGCAAGAGGAGAGGTGCTGGGGAGTCAGAGACCAGTAAGACATGGTGTGTGCTTTCAGAAGCTTCTGGTCCAGTGTAGTGCTGGTGTGCTGTTAGCACACAGAATCATGGATTGCTGGCCTCCCTCCCCAGAAATTCTAATTTGGTGTATCTTGGATGGAACCTAAGAAACTGCTTAACCAATGAGCTTCCATACCGTCCACAGGTCACTCTGAGTGGCGCCGGTCTAAGTGAGTGGTGGGTAGGGAAGGGTCCTGTACACGAATAAACCAGTAGTGCTGAGGGGTGCTGGAGAAAACCTTTGGCTGCTAGGAACCCTGACAGGGCATCTAGGTTAGCCTCGGAGTGGAAGAGAAAGTATTGCTTAAGCTGGGTTTTGAAGGGTGCATTAGAGTTATCTAGCAAAGACTGGTGATGCTAGTTGGAGGGAGGGGAGAGGAATGAAGAGAATTCCAGAAGAGAAGCAGCAGGGGCGTAGATTGGCAAACAGCTCAATATGGCTCGAGTGGAGGGTACATGTGGAAGAACAAGGCCTCTACTGTGTGCCAGGTATGGAGCAAGATCATGAACTGCGCAGGAACATGAAGCCTTCGTCTGTTAGGCTAAACTAGCTGGCTTTTATCCACAGAATAAGGCAGTGACATTGAAGGGATTTGAGACAGAGGAGAGGACAGTTTTGTGTTTTAGAAACGTCTCTCTGAACTCCGGGAAGGAGAGACTGGATCGGATGGGAGGCAGGAGGAGCAGTTAGGACTGAATAATGCAAATGAAGACCAAAGAGGGCCAGGGAATGAAGAGAAGGATGATGATTCTAGAAAATGGAGGGGAGATCTGCAGGGCGCAGTGGCCGTAACATCCAGTTTAAAAGGGGCTGGCTGAAGCTGGAATGAAATTTGCCTTACATTTATCCTTACGGAGAGGAAAAGAAAACAGTTTTTTTACTGTGCTGTCGTCTGTAGATAATTGGTTTATGGATACCCACCCTTGATTCTAAAATTCTTTTAGGAAGAAGGGAAACGAGGATCTACATAACTAGTTAATAACTGAGATTCTGGAACAAGACTGCCTGGATTTGAAGCTTGGCTCTAGCTACATGTGACTTCAGGCAAGTTACTTAACCTCTCTGAGCCTCCGTTCCCTCTAAAAAGCTGCCAGTAGTAATAGTGCCCTCCCACAGGGTTCTTATGATGATTAAATAAATTAATATTTCCAAAGCACTTTTAACAGTACCTGGCAGACAGGAAGTGCCACGTGACTGTTGATTAAGTGAAGCAAAAAATAACAGGCCGTGAATTAAAACCGTGCCCTTTCCCCATCTGCCTCTATGAGAACCAGTTTACTTTTAGTTTGGACACACTTTTAATAAGTTGTCAATGCTGACAATTAAGAGTCAATTTGTTGCTGTTCTTTTAAATCACTGTGGTCAATAGCCAGGGAGTATATGAAGCTACAACGAGCTGTATGTTGAGGAGTTCTAATATTTTAACCAGATTTCCAAGAAGTATTTCAGTTTTGTCGTATTAATGAGAGACAAATGATGTAGAGGATTCTAGCACAGCAGATGCCTTGTATGCTAGGGAATTGTGTAGGATTCCTGAAAATTACTCTCTAAAAGCTGACCATGAGAGTACATAGTGAGTTTTTGGGAGAGCTTTGGAAGACATGTTCCAAGAGAGGTGTATTTGCAGGTAAGAGAATATCCCCTTTACTAGTTCTGTTAGAGTCAAGATAAGCTCCTTTTTCTTGGCCTACAGTGTTAGACAATTTTGGATATAACCCTTTCTCCAAATATTTTGGGATTAAAATCAGTTTTAGCGTTGAAATTATTTGTTGTGTGTTGACAGCTCGTTTGACTTTTATTATGAGTGATATGAATATTACAGGGAATATTTGAATGTTTTTATTCAAGCAAACATAGGTGTGCCAGAAGTACTGGCAACTGTGAGTTTGCATGTCCCCATTGCTGTTGGCACTTTGCCTCGCTTCTGTTGCTTTCCCCGTGAAGGGCCTCCATCTTCAGGCCCACCTAGTCCTGAGCCATGCCCAGGCCTCATTTGGCAATGATCCTGATATCCTGGAAGTTAATTCCTGGTCCCTTGTTCAGGGCTGGATTCTCTGTTTTGCAAAGTAAGCCTTCAGAAGCCTCAGACCCCAGAGATTCTCCTTCAGGGGCCAGTCACCTTATGCAGCTCAGAGCAGGTGTGTGGGGATTCTGATGCACAAGAACCGTTGAGAACCCCTGGAGTCGACAAACCTCCTGGAACCTTTGCTCCCACTCACTGGACATCTAGCTTCAGCACCCTGTTCCCCGCTGGAGACTCTGGCACCATAACTCCCAGAAATCAGTCTGGTGCTTGGCCTTGAGCCCCTGAAACCCTAGAGCTGACCCTAAACAAAACCACAGTCTGCGTTAGTGGATGAAATAAACCAGGGGTATCAGAAGGCCAAGCCTCTGACTCCCTGACTTCTTGAGCCTGA